ATAAAATATGTTCATTTTATTATTTCCTGTCCTACTCTCTCCTTGTCCTTCTTCGTTTGCTTAGCATTTGTATCTGGTCCTATTAAGCACCCTCCGGAGAAAGCTGAATGTTCACCGCTGAACTGCAGAAGGAGAACACGTTGCCATCTCTTTCTACCTCCCACAGAATAAACTATGCCTTAATAGCTAAGAGATTGATCAGTACAGCAGTAAACCGGTGTACAGAACTAAAGCAGCTCGATTAAATGTCAGACACTATTTTTGAAATAAGCTCCTTTCCTCTTAGATGAAATTGTAAAAAAATTTTGTTGGGCTTCTGTAGAGCGACCAAGACTGCTAACATACTTAGCGATATTATCAGTCTCTTGACTGATAGGTCAAGAGAATTATAGGTCTCTTGAATACAAGTGCTGTCAGAACCCATAATCTGTTCCTCCTCTTTAATGTGACTCTCTAATTCCCATTGCAGTAAAAGTTTAATCTTCCCTACAGTGATCACTTCCTGCCTGTCCCTGTTTTGGAAACCTAAAATACTAACAAAGAAATCTTCCTTTTCTCCCTATTCCTTTTCTCAGGCTTTTTGGCCTTCATGGTATAGAATGAAGCTTGTAGTTTTGAAGCAGTTCTGAGCCTTTGATAAGATTGGCAAAATAAGATTTAGATAAGATTAGATAAGATTTAAGATAAGATTGATAAGATTTAGATAGTTGCTAATTAATTATTTCCCTTTGCTCTTCTTCTAATACGAATTTCCCACTCTCTTTTGCTAATAACAAATGTAGATATTCCTTGGGAAGCAAGAAGCTGCTGTGTAATGTATTTCCGTGTCATTGCAAATTTCAGATAGATCTGGGAAATAGCTATCAAAAAGTAAAGATTATGAAACTAAAAGATTTTTTGGCAACTCTGGATAAATAGGAAAATGAATTAAAAATAATTCTATCCCCTGCATATCTTTCTATAGAAAGCGTTGCAACTTCAATTTTAGTTTGTAAGTAAATGCTGAAGTCATATAGCATAGTTAATAGAAGCCTGGAATAAATATTCTTGGGATTAAATAATAACTCTCCTTATTTGTGTAAGAAATATCCAGTTACATCATTCAGCAGAAATGCAGGGCTCTCCTACAGTATATGCAGCTCTAATTGCTGTAAGGAAAAAAGCTGACAAACGTTGAAAGTGTTCCCTTTATGTGAGATTACCATGTTTTAGGTATGAGTGCATCAGGCTGTCCAAAAGATTTTCCAGTGTCCTTTTTTCTTGACTGCCTTCCCACTGCTCCCCCTTATAATTTTTTTTGTTTACCAGAGGACACTATCTGATGCCAGTTTGTTCTGTGCATGCTCTGACCTTAAGGTAAAAGAATGCTGCATCATGCCCTAAGGCTTACCCCCTTGATCTACAGTGCTGAAACAGTCTTCCTTCTTTTTGCTTTGGATGTGAAGTAACTTGCCTGGGCACGCAAGTTATCTCAAATGGAATTGCCCTGTGAATGAAGTTGCATTCTTTAAAATGAACAGCATGTCATAGTGAACCTGTAGTAGAGTTTAATAGCAAATCCCAAGTCTGAGACGTTAATGCTTTAAAGTATTTTTCTCCTATTTGATAACATATTTTGATCTTTTACCCTGTTGATTTGCTTTCTGATCAAACTATTCAGATTGAACCAATGACTCAGGTTTTTTACATTTCATCCACTGCGTTAGTGTATTTATTCTGCAAGGATAACAGAGCTTATCTCTAAGCCAGTGGATGCTGTTTGATACCTTTCTGAACACAAAAGCATGTCTTTTGGGGTTAAACTTTAAATCACAGAATCACAGAATCGTTTAGGTTGGAAGGGACCTCTGGAGATCATCTCGTCCAACCTCCCTGCTCAAGCAGGGTCACCTAGAGCATATTGCCCAGGATCACATCCAGACGGGTTTTGAATATCTCCAGCGAAGGAGACTCCACCACCCCTCTGGGCAACCTGTTCCAATGCTCTGTCACCCTCACAGTGAAGAAGTTTTTTCTCAGGTTCAGATGGAACTTCCTGTGGTTCAGTTTCTGCCCATTGCCTCTTGTCCTGTTGCTGGGCACCACGGAGAAGAGGCTGGCCTCATCCTCTTGACACTCCCCCTTCAGATACTTGTACACGTTGATGAGATCCCCTCTCAATCTTCTCTGCAGGGATATAAATGCTGCAGGGATATAAAAATGGCTGAAAGGTTGGTAGTAGGATAGCTTTTTGTCTCCAGAAGATATCTATCCTGCCACTAGGGTGTATATCCTGTTGTTTAAGGGAATATGGAACGTGACACGCTACTTAGATACAGCTCTTAACATAAGCTGTTGGTTTAAATCTTGTTCATGTGATCTGATTACGTACGATTCCTCTCTCTTGGCTGTGCTGTGGCTTTTGTCAATGAGCTGTGCTGTTCTCAGATTGTTTGCTGGTATAACAGCAACAGGTATACATGGTTATATTTCCATTGCAGGAAGTTCAGTCATTGTGACTCACTATACACCAAAGAGCGTATACCAGGTTATATTTCCTTTGCAGGAAGCTCAGTCACTGTGACTCACGAAACACCAAAGAGAATGTCCATCAGAGTAAGGAAGACTTAATGGCACAGATGTTCATACTGGTATAAACTGTCATAATTTCAGATGAGCAAATATAACCTGGTATAACAGGTGAAATGTTTTCAGAGAATATCACTGATATTTTAATTATACAATCTTCACAAGAAAACTTCCCAGGGAAGTCAACTGAGCTTCTTTCATTTCTCTTCATAGGAAGTCTGGCCTCTAAATCTTGTTTTGAGACACCCATTTGTATTCTGTTTTTACTTTTTAAAGGTGAATTGTGTGCTTTTCTGTTGGCTACCTAGAATTTAGGGGCCTAGGGGGCAGTGGCAACAAGCTTCTGGTGAAGACCTGTACAGAAAACAACTGTGAAGAAAGAGCATCTTTTGCATGAAGCCAGAACACATTTAGAAATCAGCTGAGCCACAATACTCTATTTTTTTCTGATCTGAAAGTGAAACTAAAGAACATTAATGTGACATGTCTCAAAATAAGACAATAAAATATTCAGTGAGCCACATCCTTATCTAATGTAAAGTATTACAGCTCCTTTGCTCATCTGAAATGATGCCAGTTCATACCAGCATGAACACCTATGCCATTAAGTCTTCCCTACTCTGATGGACATGCTCTTTGGTGTTTCGCGAGTCACAGCGACTGAACTTCCTGCAAAGGAAGTGTTCTCTCAAACAAACTCTAAAGCGAAGAGGTGATATAGTTTGGCAAAATAACTGCCAAGCAGTTCAGCTTTCTGAAAAAGAAATGGACAGATTTTGACTCAGTATTAAATTAGTTTAATCTGTCCTATGAGTTGTGGCTTCCTGGATTAATCTCAGGGCTAAACATTTATTTCAGATGTACCACAGAAATGATGCTTTGTAGCTAGTGGGTATAAAATTGTGGTTAGGAGGAAACGTTGCCCAAATAATTGAAGCAGCCATATAACTCGCCTCTGAGATATTGCCTGTCCTCTGTAGAAATACTCACTCACAGGGTGCATTGGAGTAATAAACCAGAAATTCTTCAGAAATGCAGTTAAACGCTATTTTGGCTTTTTCAGTGGACACTTCAGTGTATTATATTAGAAAAATAAACCAGATGTAAAATATCAGACTTAAATATCAGAAACTACTTTACTCTTTGGCTCTCACATTGAAAGGCAGACACAATGCTCTTTTTTCCTTGTCTGACTTTTCAGTATCTGCTTGAAATTCTAGAGCGCTCTGAAAATTCTGTTCCTGAGATTTAGTTGAATGTGAGAAGGGGGGTAACTTGGTGGTAATGTTTCCTGTTTATTTGTGCTATAAGATGTGCATAGGGATTGGTGTATGGATACGAGTAGAATGTTGCAAGGGTTTCTTTTGTTCTTAATGTTAAAACAGACAGTAAAACCATAGTAATATCTACAAAGAGTTACAGACTTGATATACCCGAAAGAGTGCTTTGGCACTCTTAAATGTTGCTCATTATTCAACCCTCTAACAGAAGGTTAGCAAGCGACTCGCAACAAATGGGGAGTGGTGAAAAAACAATCCTCAAGAGGAAACAACTTCTGAAGAAATTGAGTGAGGGACCTCAGACAAGAAGAGAGATGCAACTTCAGTCTGGCAGATGCTGTAACAGGGACACCTCTTTAGCCATTTTTGCTGCAAAGGTCTTGGCCCCCCCCCCCGGTTTCTGCTTCCTTTAAATAGATGGCAGTGCTTCATTGCCTTCTCTCTCTTACAATAACGTCAAACTGGATCTGTGCTTTCACAACAGAACATGTTAGGACAGCATTTCAGAGCTCAACTTGTAATTACAAACTGAAGGAGACTCCCATAGATTCAGTTACCAGCATAAGGTAAGATCCCAGGTTTCTGCCTTGTCTGATTACTGTTTTGGAGTAAGCCTTTGACCTCCTTTTTCTGAAGAAGGTATCTATCTGCAAGTTTTGGAAAGGTGAGTCTCACTGCAGCTAGCAGAGAAAGAGATAGGTTAAAAAAAGGAAAGGAGAATGCCAGACAGTGATGAAGAGGTACAAGCACATAAGAGGAGAGAAAAGCTGTGAAAGGTAAGAGACAGAACTGAATGAACAAGTCAGCATCGTGGCAAATATCTGTGAAAGCTGTCTTTTGGTAGTATAGCTAATACTTCCAACTATTCTGGAAAATGATTGAGTTAGAAATAGGGATACTGCTAAACCCAGCAAGAGCAGTCTGTTGATTTCTGGAGAAGTGGCTGCTGGCAAAAGCATGTTATTCTATGATTATAGAAAGTACTGAGGTGAGAGACAGAGGAGTCAATGCCTTCTCATGCAGGGAGCTATCTGGGTATAAGCAGCTGCTAAGATCAGTCCATTGTGTGTAAACTAGCTATGTTGCTGGGGTAAATCTTATGTACTAAACAGTTAACACAAATTCCATTATTAAAAATGTTGTCTTCTCCAGGTTTGCAGCGTGCAGGAAATCCTGGGAAGATATACTGTGTACTTGTAGCTATTTTGCTGCTAAGAAGGGCCATCATATCCATTCTACTAAGACTGAACTCAGTGGTAATTCTTTCTCCACGCTGATACTAGAGCTTTTATTCTTCAGTGTATGCAGTGTGTCAGCAGGACTAAACCAGGACAGTCTCCTGAACGTGGGATTCCAGAGAAGGCACCTTCTGTGGTTTCAGATAATTTTATTACTGGGACTGAATCTTTTGGCAGATAGATGTTCTGAAATACATTGTTGTTTGACTTGAAGCACACACTCTTGCAAGGCCACTCTGAAAGCTTGAGATGGCTCTGACTTCTCCAAACTCTACAGTTGGGGATTTGGTGCAAAGAGAAGAACTCATGCTCCATGATGAAAACTGTCATCATTTCCTCTCTGCAAACATCATCACAGTAGGTAAGTGAAAGGTTATGATTCTTTCATTTTATAGCTTGGTACTGAAAATATTTTTCCTTTTCTCCCAATTTACTTTTATGGTATTGGAATTTCATATGGGACCTTTAGGTTTCCTTAAGGTTGTTTGCGGGAACTGTGCTTGCAAGTTAGGAGGCTGAATTCCTTGATCCCCTTTTTCTCTGTGTAGTTCATGGGATGAAGAGGGATTGGCTGAGGCATATGAAAGCAAAGTGTCACTGCTCTTTGACCTGTGTTTGACCTGTTCCAGTAGTGTCCAGAGGCTGGTGGCATATATGAGCTATGGTGCCTGAATGGCCAGGAATGAAGTGAGATGCTGTTAGAGGGCAAAAATTGTGCCAAGTCTGGATAAGATGTAATATTACCTTACACAGTAAAGACGTATCTGAATCAGTCTCTCTTACGGTCTCATACACAGTCTGTGATGTTTCTGACATATACGAAAGAACTTTCCTACGTAGAATCATTATTTTCCCATCACATTTCCTTAGGTTGAAGGTCTCTCATCAGGGACTTTAGATTTGCAGTCTTAGGAAAGTTCAACTGCTTGGATTTCTATGTTAGCACAGTGTTGTGTTTACCTAATTATAGCAAAACTGCTAAGATGCAGGAAGATTAAGGCACTTCCTTGAAGCTGTAGTGTGTCCATTTTCAGATGTGAGTAAAATCCATCTTTTGTTTGGCTCACAGTGGTTTAAACTGACTATATTATAATCCCTCTCTCCATTTAAAAAAAGTGTCTTCCTTGATGATTTTAGTGGAGAGTGAAATTTAAATGGATGTTATATGCTATTTAGCATCAAGGAACTACTTGCTTTGTCAGTGTTCATAAGCAACTACCATAACACTATCTTATGGATAGTGTTATGAACTGTTTTGTTGTAATGTAAAGATTATGACTGTAATGTTACCAGTTTTTCCCAAGACATGCTAGGCAGCATAAACTTTTCCTGCAAATGTGATATGTAGGCCTCAATAAACTGTTACAGTATTTTTAAGATGCTCTTGAATAATGGGAAACGGACGTCTACTCCAGAGTTAGTTAGTTAATACAAATAGAAACCCCACCTATTATGCAAGTTAACTGTAGTTCTGTAATTAGAATCTTGATGTATTGTCTTCTGTGGCCATAAATAATGATAATAGTATAGCAAAAACCAGGGTTATGGCAAAAATCACAGGCAGGTTGGAAGGACAGCGTAAGAGTACTCCTCTTATTTACCACATCCTCAAAGAGCACTGGCGTCTGTAGCAAATTGGCTCTGAATCATAATCTGACTTATGAGTGGCCTAAAAGGGGTTTGTGTTTTAAAGGAAATTTGCATCTTTAGCTGATCCCTCGTGGCAGGGAATGTTTAAATTGTTGGTTTGCTAAATATATGAAGTTTATATATATATAAATATTTTCAAGTACCAGTAAGCATATTTAAGAGGTATAGGCCTATCTGCTTTTGAAACCACAGATGTGCATGCATATCGTCCATGATGTGTTACCAAGAAATTTTAACTTCTGTGCCATTACAGAAATTAGTACATGCATCGATGTCCCTGGCTGTGTGCCTTTCATTGTATCTGTAAGAGAGCAAGGGCTGTCTATCTCCAAAAAAATCCCCATATTTCCAAGCAAAAGCAGATTTTCAAGTATAAAAATGAACAACTGTACATAGGAAATGCTACTGTGTTCCTGTTTTTAGATTTTCTTGTCCAAATGATAGTGTAAGAGGTAATGGGAACCCAATGTTTGACAGTCTGCTTATTCTCCCATCTTGCCTCCAATTGATAATGGATATCTGGTTCAGTTAGAAAAGCTGGCTAATAAATGTTAACACCCTTTTGAAAGAATACTAACCTGTCAGTTGTAAATTTTACCATTGCTTTCTTAGCTGCCTCTGAAGGCTGGTTAGTAGAGATGCCTGACAGATGAATTAATTGGAACATCTTCATTGGATAGCAGTTCAGTGACTTGTAGCTCTTTTTGGAAATTAATTACTATAGATTGGAAACAATATATGTAAAAATTAAGCTGATGAGACAAACAGATGAGAGAGAAAAGGGACTGGAGGCTTTAAGTCTTGGTGGCTATTAAGAAATAAGCACTGGAATTTAAAAGGAATGTGCATCAGTTTTCTTTGCAAGACAGGCAGACAGAAGATGGCCAAAAAGAAGTACTATTTCAAAAGTGGGAATGTAGGTAGGAATGAGATCTGTCATCTAATAAGTGGTATCAGTCACTATATCTTCATTCAGTGTTGAGATGACTATTTAGAATAGGTAATTGAACCAACCAGATTATGATGTTATGTACCAAGCACCTGTAAATTTGTCAGCTCCTCTTAAAAGGGCAGTTAGGTATGCTGAAGCTTTTTGGGAGAGAAAAAAAATAATTTTTCTGGTCAAAATAATTAATATCAGTAAGAAAAAAATGGTAGTAGTCCTATAACTTTGTTTAGAATGTAGCATTACTCTTTTTTAGGGGTGGTGCTAGTGCAGTTACCTATCAACTAGGATTCAGCAGCAGCAAGTGCTTTTAACTGTTTTCTTCTTCAGTCTTTAACAGATATATTCCAGAGGGAACACTGAATGCTGGGAAAATGGGGAGGAATAGTTGCAGTAGAATGCAGCTATGAGGGCCATAAGAACAAGGAGAACCCAAGCTGTTTCTGAAAGGAAAACATTTTAAATATTTTTAGAATGTGAATTAGTATCATAGGGTGTGACTGTCAAAATGTGTAGAGTGTTAACTGAAAATGATAGCAGCTTTTGTTCCCTGAGTCTTTCAAGTGCTCTTTGACAATCCTTCTTTAAGTTAATGGAATAGCACTGATTTATACCGCCTCAGGTTGTGGCTCTTTGCCATGAAGTTGTCTGAGTTGAGCTATGAGATGCAGAGCTCAAAGAACAAATATTGCTGGTTGTTACTGGTCTTTTTTTCAGTGGTGACAACTTGCTCAGAGGAAAATGAGCTCTTATCTTTTGGAAGCTTTTGAGATTACAGATACAATTTTATGCATCAGGTGTTGAATGGAGACTGGGTAGGAGGAAGGCAATTGTGTAACTGACATCTGTGGCAGATGAACTTTTGCTATTCGAAGGAATTTGAAGGAGGAAGAGGTGGCTTGTTGCATTTTAAAAAAAATCAGTTTAGCTCAAGATTTTGGTGAGAACTTGGTGAACTCATCACAGGACTTATTCGATTGAAACTGATGACTAATGGTAAATTTATCACTATATGTATTCCCATTTGCTGCCTACAGTCTCAAAGCAGACAACACTTTGTGTTTTGACTGCGCTTGCACAGGAATGAGTTTCATCATTTTGGCCAAATCTCTGGCAATTTGGAAGTCAGTTTAGCTTTGTGATAGCTCAATATTTGGGCTGCTATTTAGAGTTTTTACTAATTAATGGGAACAAATGTATTTATATTATAGCTGTATTAAAAATAGCACATCAGTGAAAATATAACCTATGATTAACTGTTGTTACATTATCTTGTTCTTACCTTTATCTTATCACATATTTAGAGATACGAATCATTTTCTAGTAGAGGTAGCCACCTATTATCCTATATGTGATCATCATCTAAATGTACTTTGTGAGTTCACTGTGTGTAGTAAGTACTTAAATATTCTGTATTTATCTTAATTTGATGTGTTTAAGTAGAGCATTTTTCCACAAGCAAGTTATTCCATTGATGGCTTTTTTTATTTTTTAAAATAATCAGAAAGTATATTCTTAATTGACAAGCAGTCTAAAGGAAATGGACAAATTTTAAATTTCCTGCATGCAACAAATGCAGTTTTGCTATTATGAGAAGATATATTTCCCGCAATGTTGTAGGATTTTTTTTAGACAACTTTTTCAAAACTTAGTTGAAGTTCAGTTGGTGTCCTTTTCGCTTCATTGAAGCTTAGGCACATGTCCAAGCAGTTGACTAAATGAAGTTTGCATTAAATTTCTTGATCACTAGGAATGGAAGGAAGCACAGGCCAAACTACTTTGCCAAACCGAGACCTTTCCTAAGAGGTATTCTTCTTTGTTGATGAATCTTTCAAAAAATACCAAAGGCCTGAAGTGGAATCTTCATGGATCCACTGTCCTCTCTTGCCTTTGTGCTGTTTCTGAGCTCTCCTCTCTACGTCTCTGCAGGCTGCATAATTGACATCTTGTGGTTCCTAACAATATGAAGATTTTAATACAAAGTTAATAAAGTTACGAAGGTTGCCCTAGTCCTCTTATATGGTATGTCAGTGGAAAAAGAGAAATAGTTACATAAGCATGTATTCCTTTCCTGTCATCTGTGAATCACACCCATGATGATCATTTTTTCTAGCTCTTTCTCATAAATTGACTTGCAAGGGATTTGGAAAAGAGAATTGCAGAAATCTAAGGGTGTAATAAATGTATTACATCATCCGTGTTTTTTTCTGGCAGCACAGAAATAAGATGATCTGTTCTGGTTATTGTTATATTATATAAACTATGTTTTAGGGAAATACTTTTTACTTGTAAAATGAATTGTATTCGATCAAGAACTCTTGATCAAGAACTGTCCTTTGTATACTTTTGTTCATAAAGCTCTGTCAAGTGTGTGCAAGTAGGAGAGAGTGCAAAGAGATGACAGAAGTAGCTGGAGGAAGAAAATAGTGTCTTTGTTGTGCCAGTGCAGCACTTTCAGCATTCCACTGCAAGTGGGATTGATCCCAAACAAAAGCTGGTCTTCTGCAAAGGAATTCCTTTGCAGCCCAGTTCAGGACACCCATCTGAGTTTGTTCTTATCTTACCTCTGTAATTAACTCTTTATGTGACTCAGATTGACTGTTGAGTAGTGCAGCGGCAGCTTCTTTTCTCTGTCTTTGTTTCACCTTCATGTTGTAATAATTGCAGAGCAATCTATGTAGAAATGATAATGTTGTTGGACTGTTGCCTTGATTGACTAGCCTATGTTTTCAAATATGACATTTCAAGTTTCTCATTTGGTGACT